TGTGATAAAAATCAACTAAAATCAATGATAAAATCAACTAAAATCAATGATAAAATCTACTAAAATCTGTGATAAAAATCAACTAAAATCAATGAAAAAATTAACTAAAATCAATGATAAAATCAACTAAAATCTGTGATAAAATCAACTAAAATCAATTATAAAAATCAACAAAAATCAATGATAAAATAAACTAAAATCAATGATAAAATCAACTAAAATCAATGATAAAATCAACTAAAATCTGTGATATATCAACTAAAATCAATGATAAAATCAACTAAAATCTGTGATAAAAATCAACTAAAATCAATGATAAAATCAACTAAAATCAAAGATAAAATCAACTAAAATCCATGATAAAATCAACTAAAATATGTGATAACATCAACTAAAATCAATGATAAAATCAACTAAAATCAATGATAAAATCAACTAAAATCTGTGATAACATCAACTAAAATCAATGATAAAATCAACTAAAATCAATGATAAAATCAACTAAAATCAATGATAAAATCAACTAAATTCTGTGATAAAATCAACTAAAATCAATGATAAAATCAACTAAAATCTGATAAAATCAACTAAAATCTGCGATAAAATCAACTAAAATCTGTGATAAAATCAACTAAAATCAATGATAAAAATCAACTAAAATCAATGATCAAATCAACTAAAATCAATGATAAAATCAACTAAAATCAATGATAAAATCAACTAAAATCTGTGATGATATCAACTAAAATCTGTGATGATATCAACTAAAATCAACGATAAAATCAACTAAAATCAATGATAAAATCAACCAAAATCAATGATAAAATTAACTAAAATCAGTGATAAAATCAACTAAAATCAATGATAAAATCAACTAAAATCAATGATAAAATCAACTAAAATCAACTAAAATCAATGATAAAATCAACTAAAAACTGTGATAACATCAACTAAAATAATGATAAAATCAACTAAAATCAAGGATACAATCAACTAAAATCAATGATAAAATCAACTAAAATCAATGATAAAATCAACTAAAATCAATGATACATTCATGTGGAGGCAGAATAGGCTTGCTTAAAAAGAAAAGTCTTTAAGCCGTTTTTAAAGTCAGTCATTGACTGTGGAGCTCTCAGATAGTCAGGGAGGGAGTTCCAGAGGTGGGGGGCAGCCACACAAAATGAACACACTGAAGTCACATGACCACACTAAAGTTACACACTGCACAGAAGTCACATGACCACACTGAAGTTACATGACCACACTGAAGTTACGGACTACACTGAAGTCACATGACCACACTGAAGTTACATGACCACACTGAAGTGACGGACTACACTGAAGTCACATGACCACACTGAAGTCACATGACCACAATGAAGTCACATGACCACACTGAAGTTACATGACCACACTAAAGTTACACACTGCACAGAAGTCACATGACCACACTGAAGTTACATGACCACACTGAAGTGACGGACTACACTGAAGTCACATGACCACACTGAAGTTACATGACCAC